TGAACTAATTTACATTCCCACCAGCAGTGTAGGAGGGTTCCCCTTTCTCCACAATCTCGCCAACATTTGTTTGTTGTTTGTCTTTTGGATGGTGGCGATCCATACTCGTGTGAGGTGATATCTCATTGTGGTTTTAATTTGCATTTCTCTGATGACAAACGATGTGGAGCATCTTTGCATGTGTCTATTGGCCATCTGAATTTCTTCTTTGGAGAACTGTCTGTTCAGCTCCTCTGCCCTTTTTTTAATTGGATTATTTGCTTTTTTGTTTGTTGAGGTGCACCTCCACCCATTTTTTAATTGAGTTATTTGCCTTTTTGGTATTGAGGCATGTGAGCTGTTTATATATTTTGGATATTAACCCTTTATCAGATTATGTCATTTATGAATATATTCTTCCAGACTGTAGGATACCTTTTTGTTCTACTGATGGCGTCCTTTGCTGTACAGAAGCTGTTTAGTTTAATGTAGCCCCATTTGTTCATATTTGATTTTGCTTCCCTTGCCTGAGGGGATGTGTTCAGGAAAAAGTTGTTCATGTTTATATTTAAGAGACTTTGCCCATGTTTTCTTCTAAGAGTTTTATGGTTTCATGAATTACATTCAGATCTTTGATCCTTTTGAGTTTACTTTTGTGAATGGAGTTAGACAGTAATCCTGTTTCATTCTCTTACATGTAGCTGTCCAGTTTTGCCAACATCAGTTGTTGAAGAGGCTGTCATTTCCCCATTGTATATCTATGCCTCCTTTGTTGTATATTAATTGGCCGTATATGTGTGGGTTTATATCTAGACTTTCTATTCTATTCCATTGCTCTAAGGGTTTGTTCTTGTGCCAGCACCAAATTGTTTTGATTACTGTGACTTTGTAGTAGAGCTTGAAGTCGAGGTGTGTATTCTTTTGGCTATTCAGGGTATTGTGGTTCCAAATGAATTTTAGAATTATTTGTTTTAGTTCGTTGAATAATGCTTTGGCATTTTTATAGGGATTGCATTGAATCTGTAGATTGCTTTAGGCAGGATGGCCATTTTGACAATATTAATTCTTCCTATCCATGAGCATGGGATGTGTTTCCATTTTTTGGTATCCTCTTTAATTTCTCTCATGAGTATCTTGTAGTTTTCAGAATATAGGTGTTTCACCTCCTTCTTTAGATTTATTTCTAGGTATTTTATTTTTTTTGATGCAATTGTGAATGGAATTGTTTTCCTGATTTCTCTTTCTGCTAGGTCATCATTAGTTTATAGGAATGCAACATATTTCTGTGTATTGATTTTGTATCATGCAACTTTGCTGAATTCAGATATTAGATCTAGTAAGAGAGATTCTTAAGTGCAAAGAACTTCTAAAAGTTAAAAATTTAACAAATGAAAGAAAAACACAAAACTTGTTTAAAACAGAGATGAGGCACAGAACATTTTCTAGTAAAGTAGAAAATACATCAGAAGTAATTAGGCAGAACAGATATTTTTCTTTAAAATAGAATCATATATATCATTAATTCACTTAAAAAAAGATCTCAAAATGCTTCAAAAAACTTAGCTCATTTTTTTATTCCTCAGAAAAAAAAATAGTCTTTTACTTCTCTTTTTCAACTAAAACCAAGGTGGGGCAAAAAAGAGAATGAGAAAATTAAAAATGAGCTCAGGAGACTCAACATCTAGATAACAGACTTTCCAGAGAGAAAAAAGAAAAGAGGGGGGAAAGAAAAGAGTCAAAGAAATAATTCAATGAATTTTCCTAAAAGTGAACAACTAAATTGAAGGGCCAATATTGTAGATATTTAAAAAAAACAAAAAAGACTACTCCAAGACAATAATACAATCAAATTTCAGAATACTGGGGGGAAAAAAATATAATCTTCCCCTACAGAGAAAAAGGAGACAAAAAAGTATAGAGAGAAACAAAGACTAGTTTTTATACTACGGTAGTTTTTATACTACGGTAACATTAGAATTCTTAAAAGCAACACTGTTAAGTTAGAAGGCAATGGAGCATTATCTTCAAAATTCTAAATGAAAATTACTTCCAGTCTATAATTCTATCTAGGCAAATTATCAATTAAGCATGAAGATAGAATAAAGCCATTTTCAGACATGCAAGACCTAAAAGAAATATACTTCCGATAAACTCTTCCTCAGGAAGTTACAGAAATTTACCAAAACAATGAAATAAACCAGGGAAAAAAACTCTAAACCCTGTTGGGATCCAAACAGGTAACACAACAAAAGAGGAATATGAAGGTGATCCTCTGATGATGGCGAAGTCACAGCCCAAGAAAACGGCGCTGTGCAGCTCCAAATCCAAATTGGAGCAGTTCAGAAAGTTCTAAAGCTTGAAGATGAAACCTACAGAGTATCTAATGCATATGATGTACTAAAAGGAGACTTACAGTAACGTGGGTGAGTTTAGGGTTAAATTTGTAATAAAAACTAAAATTTACATGTATAAAAAATAAAATTTAAAAAACTTGGCAAAAAAAAATTAACTACAAGAATAAATATATACAGGTAAAAAGTTACCAGGTAGGTCTTACTATAGCCTAAAAAGCCCCTACATGTTTTAGCACTTACCATTATCTCTTTGATAGCAGCATCTTACTCTACTTCTCAATCTGCCTCAGTCAAACTCAACTCCTTTCTGTTTCTAGAAAATCCCCAGAAAACTGCTACCTCATTTTGCTTTGGATATTCCCTCTGCATAGAACACTCTTCTCCCAGATGTCCAAATAATACCCTCATCTCTTGAAAGTCTTTGTGCAAATGTCACTTTCTCAATAGGGTAACCTGGCTACCTACTCTACTTATAATTATAACCTGTACCCTACTCTCCACCCTGCCTCTCTGTCCTCCATCCCCCACTTTTCCCCCCAGAGCACTTATCAATTCCCCAAATACTTTATGTTCATTGTTGTCTGTTACCCCCTCTAGAAGTAAGTTCCATCACGTGTATTGCAAGCACCCAGAGCAGTACATGGCACAAAGAAATAAATGTTTATTGAATGAACAAATAATGAATAAATAAGAATGGAAAGCAATTATGCAATATTACAAAAGATTCTTGTCTGACTTGTGAATAGTATCTGCATAATAATAACAATACTCATCCTATAAAATCATGATCTAAATGTAATGGCAGAACAACAGAAGGCGAAGTGTGTCTGTGCGATGCACTGTGTAAGAAAAGCAGATACCATCCATAAAGGTATATCAACAGTTAATGTGTAAAACAGGAAATCAAGAAACAACACAAGCACTTTACTTGTATGAATGAGAACAAAGGAATCAACTAAAATAGCCAAAAGTGGTTATCTATGGAAGGAAATTGGGTGGGAGAGTCCAGTTTTTTAAGCCATTTAATACCTGAAACTATGTCCACATAAATCATAAAAAAAAAGTCACATGTTGAAATAAGAAGATACACACATCATGCATGTAATTGTCCCAGAATTAATGCCATCATATAAAGAATGACAAGACCAAGCACCCAATAAAAAGATATGACATAAAAAAGAATTTCCTAGAAATACACATTAAATCCACAGTAAGATATTTTTTATAGCAACCAGATCAGCAACTAGCTAGTTTGACCTCATTAAGAATGCTAACAAAAACGTGAAATGAGAAACTTCCATACAGTGTTGATGAGACTGTAAATTGGTAGAACCACTTTGGAAAACATTTGCATTATTTAGTAAAGTTGAAGATGTACTTACCTGACAATTGAGCAACTCCACTCCTACTTATAGATCCTACAGAAACTCTTGTACAGACGTGTCAGAATACACAATAATTTTTGCCAAAGTACTATTTTTAATAACCAAAAACCAAACCAAACAAAACTGGGAAACCAAATTTTCATTTACAGGAGAATGAATAAATTTGCTGCAAGAGATTCATAAAATGAAATCTAACAGTAGCTGAAAATGAACAAACTAGGGAAACATGCACCAAACAATAAGTCTCAAAGCAACACTTGTCTTCTGTGTGAGTCCATTTATATATGGCCAAACAGCAGAACTAAATATGAGTAAGTGGTAAAACTATGAAGAAAACAACAAGAGAGTGATAAACACAAAACTGAATACAGATGTTATCTCCTGGGGAAAAGGGGATGGGGTCATGGAGGAGCATGAAGGGGATGTCAGTGTGTGTACGTGTATGTGTGGGTGTGTGTTCTTCTGTAGTGTAAATATTTCATAATAATAAAATAATGAACAAACAAGGACAGACCTACGACTGAACAGAATACAAAACCTGCATAGATTCTCAGTTAAAAAGCCTTAAGTACACTGAGGTCAGAAAGGTTAAGGACCTGGAAACAGACACATAGTAAGTCTCAAAACTGAGAACTCAAGCTGGGCTTGTCTGACACACAGTATGTATTTTTCTCATTTAAAGACTAAAAAGTTAGCTTAGCTAATTTATAAAACATACATTAAATTCACTCTCATATAACAAAATTAAAGGGGAGGAACCACTGGAATTAGAAAATGCCGAAAACATTCCATGTGGATGGCAAATATAAAGAGAAGTAGCATTTTTGAAGAATGGGAGATAGAGACAGGGGCAGGAAACAAGTGGGCAACAATGTCTGCAGCCCCAGCCTGCAGAGATGCAAAGGAGAGGGAAGTAATGTCCATGGAGGCCCTTCCATGCAAGGGCACTTTATGTGCAGTATTTACGAGTTCTCTCACCCCTAACGCCGACAGTTAGGTACTACACTCATTTTACATGCGCAAAAAAACAAGATGCAGAGAGTTAAGGGAGAAGAAGAAATCCCTCAGTGAATATTGCCATTGCCCCAGCTGGCTCAAAGCTCTGTCAGCAGGACAAACGAGCAGGAAGGGGACTACAACAATCCTACAGACATCCAAGGTGAACTACGCACTAGAAAGGAAACCAAGGAGCCAAAAGGAGAATCAGTTTCTTCTCTGTGAAACTGTGCCAAAATTTCTACACCTAACTAGCACTCCACCAAATATGAGAACAGTGGCTTACCTGTGACCAGGATGGTAAATAGCCGTGTTGATTCCATGTGGATAATGACCACTGAAGTTAAAACAGTGACTCTCTTGATAGCTCTGATTTGTTCCCACACTAAATTTAAGAAGTTAAATAAAAAAGATACCATTAAACCACAGTGAAATACCACTACATACCCACTAAAATGTCTGTAATTTAAAAAGACACCATCAAACACTGCTCAGGATGTAAAACACCCAGAACTCTGATATGTTATTAGTGGGAATATGAAGAGACATAAAACCTTTGGAAAAAGGTCAGGCAGTTTCTTATAAAAATGAACTGTATCTATCCTATGATTCAGCAAGTCCACTCAAAAATACTAACCTAAGAGAAATGAAAATGTATATCCATAAAGACTTGTATATAAACAGTCATAGCAGCTTTATTCACAATAGCCCAAAACTAGAAACTCAGAAGTCCATCAGTATACAAATAGATAAACAAATCATGAATGTTATAGACTATTTCCCACTTTCAAAACTCTAATTAAAACACTAACACGATGTGATGGTGTTGGAAGAGGGGTCTTTTATTCAGTAATAAAGATGGAGCCCTCATATACAGGATATTAGTGCCCTTAAGGAAGAGGCCAGAGAGCTAGCTCTCTCTTCCCACCATGTGAGGATAACAGTTGGCAGGCTGCAAGCCAGGAGAAGGCTCTCACCAAAACCCAACCTGGCATGCTGGCATGCTGAACTCAGACTTCTAGCCTCCAGAACTGTGAGAAATAAATTTCTATTGTTGACAAGCCACCCAGTTTATGGTATTCTGTTATAGCAACCCAACCTAAGACACATGAAATATTTACACAATGAAAAACTAATCAGCAATAAAATAAATAACTACTGATACATGTAAAAATTCAGATGAATCTAAAAATGTGCCAAATGAAGATCAGTCAAAAGAATACATACTATGAGTCCATTAAAGTGAATTATTGGAACAGGCAAAACTAATCTATGATGGCAAAATTATAAACAGTAGTTGCTCAAGGGCTGAGTATGACGGAAGTTTACTGGGAAGGGGCATGGGGGAACTTTCTAGTATCATGGTAATGTGCTGTATCTTGACAGGGGTTTGAATTGCACAAGCTTATGCATTTGTCATAACTCACCAGCTGGTATACTTGAGATCTGGACAATTTCGTTGTATACAAACTTTACCTCAAAAGAAAAACTATAAGCAAATACTGAATCTTAACTAATGAGCTTTAATAATGCACATGTTAAAGTATTTAAGTATTGACTACTGAAATTCATTAAAAAATAAGACTGATGGTGAGAGGGATGGAGAGAAATATGATACAGCAAGTATAATAAAATGCTAATTATAGAACTTAAGTAGAGGTATATGAGTTATCAGTATATAATTCTTTCTCTTATATTTGCAATTTTTAATAAAATGCTGAAAGAAAAATAACACCAAAATCTTACCCTAAAACAGAGGAAAATATTATTTCAAATAGGACTTTCCAAGTAAAGTGTATTTTTACCTTACAAGGTAACTTCTAAGTTCTCCCCGGTAATTGACGACTAGGAGTTCTGCAGACCACTGGGCACTTGCTTTATATTCTAAAAATATCAGCCCAGCAATGGCACAGCTCAAGTCACCTGCTAAGCTAGATGCCTGCAGAAGAAAGGGAAATTAAGTTACTAAAAAGGTACTAGATCAAAGTGCACACATGTAGTAGACCAAAGTTCATACACACATATGTAACTGGAGGGTGGCTTAGTCACTGGCCCTTCCAGGTGCACTTTAAGATAGCTGCAGAATTGATCTATACAAGGAAGATCCATGCAACTCAGACTACCTACAACCAGACACCCAAGTCTAAACCAGCCAGGACCACCCCAGACTGGAACCACAGCAGCCTCTTCAGGTGAGATATTCACCTAGAAAAATGAGTTTATGTTCAGGCTGTACTTCCATGGGGGGGGGGGAGTAATGCCACCATTCAGCCTCCAAGAATTCTAAAATATGGAATTCAAATACAAGCTTTTAAATGTTAATTTCTACAACTAGCAGTAACCAATATTACAAAAAGTCTCCAATTATTTTCCATTTGCATAATAGCAACTTGAAGGAAGGACACTTAAAACGCTCACTCAATGCCAACTTTTTCCAACAACCAAGTATCAGGCTATATTGCCAAAGATGTGAAAGCAAGTCTCCTGGGAAAGCGCCCTTAACATAGTTATCACCCTCAACGCCTCCTCACTGTCTAGAACCAAACAATGCAATAAAATATTGTAGCCACATGCAGTTACTGACCACTTGATAAGTGGCTAGTCTGAAATGAGGTGTGTAAAAAGACATACTCCATTCTAAAGACTTAGTACCAAAGAACTAAAGTAAAAATATCTCATTAATTTTTACATTAATTACATGTTGAAATAACATTAAGGATATACTGGATGAAGTAAAATAAATTTCACCTGTTTCTTTTAACTCTTCTCAGTGCAGCTACTAGAAACTTTAAAATTAAATATGTGACCACATAAAGAGTTCTCTTTACATTCCCATCAGACAGTGCTTGTCTAGAAAAACGTAAACTTTGGTTGGAACTTGTTAGATTGGATCCCAGGGACTTTTGTATTATAAGCCCAACATACTTTAAATGTTTCCATTCATTATTTCTGAACAAAAGTCATTCTGTACTTGGTTTTCATCTCATCTCATTCAACTTCCCATTAGAATCTGCTGAAAAAGGTGTAAATAATATTAATACCCAGGGCCAGCTCAGATCACTAAATCGGAATTTAAATGGGTGAAGCCTGGGCAATCTAGTAATATTTTTCTTATCTTTACTAAGCTTCAAAGGTTTCTCCGATGCAGCCAGAGTTAGAACCACTGTTCTACTTGCCCCCTATCTTGTTCATTCAAGGAAGGATAAAAAGTAAAAAGCACTTGATTCCTAAAGGAGACAGACACTTATTAGTTGGATTGCCATGGGAAAAGTCTAACTACCTCACGACTTCTGTTTTCTCAACTGTAAACTGAGGATAATGGTTGCCCGACCTACTCAAAGGATTGCTGTGAATAAGAAGATGAATCAAAGTCATTAATAAAAGATGAAGACAAGTCATTACTACCTGTGGTCTTCTATTCTCCACTCTCCCTTTCAATATCTATTCCCTTTAGGGTAACAAATTCTAACTCCTCTTGAAGCTGTTTGTGTTGCAGCAGTCCCTACACTTCTGTCCCTTACTGAAAGTTTACAACTTTCTATACCTATATTTAGTATTTACTTACTACCATATTTTAACAATGGTGGATTCCATCTAGATACTGCATTACAGAATACAATAAATATTTCATGTATCATTATCTAACTAGGTTCTGAGCATCTTAAGTTCACAACTTATTCAGATTTATATTTATATTTCCCCTTTCTTCACAGCCGTTCCCTCAAGTACCCATATATGAAAGGCATTCAAAGAAAACTGTCATCAGTTTAAGGTATGTACCTACCATGGTGATGACAAAGAGCTCACTTCCCATGAGATCAAACACCCTCACGGTTCCCGTGCTTTCCGCATAAGCCAGCAGGGTACAATCATAACTCCACGCCACACGTCTCCACTGGGGCTTCGGGTCTTTTGGAACTAGAATAAAAAGCGAAGAAGTTCTTTAAAAGATGTATTATAAAGATAGTTAACACTTACCTTTACTGCAACTAAACTTGGTTGTCAACTATATTACATCATCTCTAAGGATCTCCAATGCTTCAGTTCAATAGAAAAGAATAATTCTCAAAAACCCACTTCAAGTAAGAGTAGGAAACCCAAACAAGCTCTGAGCCACTTACTTGAAAAGCAAAGCCTACTGGCCAGTGGTCCGCTGAAGGCTGAGCATGCCCTAGTCTTCAAAAGGCTCAGCAATAAAGTACCTCAAAATACTTATATTAAGAGAGATCAAAAGCAAAGAGAATGGGCAGAAAATAATTCCAATTCAATGAGTCAGCTCCTCTAGAAGCAAAAAAATGAAAACTTTAACTGAGATCTTTTAAATATATCAAAAAAGATGCCAAGGACATATGTATAAAATATAAAGCAGGTGAATCAAGAACTGTTCTTAGTCAACCACACAATTAAAAGGTTTTGATAATCAATGCCTTAATAATCCAACACCTGTACTTCTGGATTTTTCAGCACAACAAGAGAAAGGAAGGCTCTCCAGGGCAAAAGGAAGAGGGGCTGTGAAACTCTAACCTGTGTTAGGTTTTGTTCGCCTCAGTTTCCCCTTATTAGGATCCCAGAACTGAAGAGACAGACAGGAACCAGTGCCTTCCCTTTATCAACAAGAATTCCAAATGATCAGGGGACTCGCTTGACCATGAGCCAAGAGCAGAACGAAGCCCAGAACCTACGCATCCGCTTTCCCACATAGTGCACATTTCACCACGACACACTGCCTCTGTCACAGCTTGGCCTCGGCCTCAGGACTGCTTCGGAAATGATTCCGAGACGACCTCCTTCTCTATTCCTCTACTAATATTCCAGTTCAGGCTTCATCAGCT